ACCCAGGAGGCAGAGGTTGCAGTGAGCCGAGATCACGCCACTGCACTCCAGCCTGGGCGACAGAGCAAGACTCCCTCTCAAAAAAAAGAAAAAAAAAAAAAAAGGCTGTGCCCAGTGGTTCATGGCTGTGCCCAGTGGTTCATGGCTGTAACCCCAGCACTTTGGGAGGCTGAGGAGGCCAGATTATGAGGTCAGGAGTTCGAGACCAGTCTGGCCAACATAATGAAACCCCGTCTCTACTAAAAAATACAAAATATTAGCCGGGTATGGTGGTGGGCGCCTGTAATCCCAGCAACTCGGGAGGCCGAGGCAGGAGAATCGCATGAACCAGGGAGACAGAGGTTACAGTGAACCAAGATTGCACCATTACACTCCAGCCTGGGTGACAGTGTGAGACGCCGTCTGAAAAAATAATAAAGAACCAGACTCCCCACATCCAACAATCTCAGGCACTTATTAAGTACCTGCTGTGTGCCAGAAACCTTGCTGGGGATCCAGAGGAAACAGTCCTAGCAGGTGGCTGGGCAAGAGTCTGGGGTCCTGAGGTGGAGGCAGGAGGGGCTGGAATCCTTGCCAACGGTGTCCCTCCAAGGAAGCCCGGCCCAGGCACCCACGCTTTAGTCGCCCTCCCCTGGGGCCTGAGAGTCCCCCCTGAGCTCACACACCTGGGTCAGTTCCAGGCAGCCCCACCCAAGGTGGAGCTGTGAGGCCCCAGAACTGAGAGGCCGCCATCATTCCTGGCTCTGCCACTGAGAGGCTGCCCAGAGCCAGGCCCACTTAGCACCTGGCGGCCAGGCGTCCTCCCGCTGGGCACCCGATGCCTAAGCACCCTGCCAGCCCAGGCAGTGTTAATGAGGCCGTCATGCCAATCAGAGGGACAGGCCGCCTGGGCTCCTTCACAGCCTGGCTGGGCGTTGGGGAGTGGAGGTGAAGCCAGTGTCTGTGTCTGAGGCGGGGGGACCATGGGCACAGCTGCCCCTCCGGCGTCCCCTACGACTCAGACCAACTGAGCTGTGCCCTCACAATCCAACGGGAGGCTGGGCACAGTGGCTATGCCTGTAATCCCAACACTTTCAGAGACCGAGGCGGGCAGATCACTTGAACTCAGGAGTTCGAGACCAGCCTGGGCAACATAGTGAAACCCCATCTCTACTAAAAATACAAACATTAGCCGGGCATGGTGGCAAGTGCCTGTAGTCCCAGCTACTTGGGAGGCTGAGGCAGGAGGATTGCTTGAGCTCGAAGGTAGCAGTGAGCCAAGATTGTGCCACTGGATTCCAGTTTGGGCGAAGAGCGAGACCCTGTTTCAAGAAAAAAAATTTTAAAAAAGATCCAATGGGAAATTGAAGTGCAGGCAGCACCCCAGCTTGTGCCCCTAATCCAGAGATACTTCCCTGGCATTGGTGCTAGGCCTGGGTCCTCAGTTTCCTTGCAACTGTGGGAGAGAGTGTGTGGGCATCGTCTCTGGGGAGGGGGTGTAACCCCAGACTGTGTCTTCCTAGGATGGTGCCTGGCACATGACCTGGTTTCGCACACAGTTGGTGCCTCATAAAAGCGTGTGAATCACAGAGGCGGATGAGGCCGGCGCACAGGGAGAGGCAAGACCAGGCCCTGGCGTCGTGGCGTGCACCGTGCCCTAGGCGGTATTTGAATGTGGGAGTCTCTCTGCCCCCACCCGGGCCCTGAGCATGGGGACAGTGAGGACAGGTTCCTTTTCCTCCCGTGTCTGCAGGTGCCTGGCACAGTTGCCATCCAGGGCTTACAGGACAGAGGAAGAGTCCCTGAGTCTGTGCACACTCTGCCACCATGGCCCCGCCCATCTCTGGGGCCCACAGGTGCCCAGCCCAGGCCCCTTGCTTTTGGCTAGACTCCTGCCATATGGGGACCCCCATGATAGCCATTCAGGAGGCGGGGGGCCCAGGAGGTCAGGGGATTGACTCCAGGCCATGACCGGAAGTGCCCTGCGGCCCCTGTTCCCAGTCCCCAGGGAGATCTGAGGGTCACATGCTGTTATGAGGAAGAGGACACCAGGTTGGCCCTGGCCCAGGGTGGGCAGCTCTGGTTTCACTACTTGGCTCTGAGCCCCTGAGGCAGGTGCGGGCGCCAGGCACGGTGAGCAGGGCCCAGTGCCCCTCAGGCTCTGGGGAAGGGGTGCAGCTAGGCAGCCCAGAGCAGGGAGGGGCTGGGGACAGGTGTGACCACTTCCAGTCTCTCCCAGCCTGCTGGCCTTCATCCTCTCCCAGATTCCAAGGGTCACCGCTGGGAGCATGGGGTGGACAGCATCCCACCAGCCTCCCGGATGCACATCCGTAAAGACTCCAAAGTGAAGTGAGGCTGGCTTCACTCCAGCTCACAGCAGAAGAAGGGGCAGCCTCAGGACCAGCGACTTGCTCAGAGTGCACAGGAGTGTGCCGGGGCCAGGCCAGACTGGGGCCTCTGACCCTGACCCTTGCCTGCAGGGCTGCACGGCCACTGTGTTCCACCTTCCAGTGTGGGCGGCAGTCCAGTGCGCGTCATTCTGGGGCCTGAGCAGCGTGGCCAGAGGCTGGCCTGGGGTGGAGATGACCTGGCTGTAGGTTGTGGGTGGGGTCCTTGCTGTGCTCCTGGCAGCAGGAATCAGAGAAGCAGTAACTGGATCCGGCTGAGGGCCTGGCGGCCACCGAGGGTACACGCGGCGATCGGGTTGCGGCCAAGCCGTGAGCGTTCCACCGGGCAGCTCTACATCGGGAAGGGCCGGCCCAGGCTGGGAGCCCACACGGGGTTGGAGGAGGTGGGCAGGAACGAGAGAGGCCAAAAGGTGCAGAGCCATGAAGAGGGGCGCTGGGCCTACGCTGTGAGGAAACAGGGGTCAACCCTGCCCTCCAGCCCTGCGGGCCCTCAGGCTCTGGACTCTGTGCAATCCAGGAGTGGCTGAAATCCAAGCTCAGAGTAATGAAAAGGACTGCTCCTAAGCTGCACGTCTCTGATCCGCTCTCCCCGCCCGCCCTCTGCTGCCCGCGGGCCCTCTAAGAGCTTCCCAGGCTGCTGCCGCAGGTCAGAGGCGGGTCAGAGCACACGGGGTCCATGACGCCGGCTGGGTCTGGGGGCCGTGGGCCAGCTGAGCCGACCTGGGGTTTTGGGGGACCGCGGGGGCCGTGAGCACTCAGAGGGAGCGTCCCAGGCCCCTCCGGGGACCCGGCCAGCCTGAAGATGCCGACCAACGGCCTGCACCAGGTGCTGAAGATCCAGTTTGGCCTCGTCAACGACACTGACCGCTACTTGACAGCCGAGAGCTTCGGCTTCAAGGTCAATGCCTCGGCGCCCAGCCTCAAGAGGAAGCAGACCTGGGTGCTGGAGCCCGACCCTGGACAAGGGTCGGCTGTGCTGCTCCGCAGCAGCCACCTGGGCCGCTACCTGTCGGCAGAAGAGGACGGGCGCGTGGCCTGCGAGGCAGAGCAGCCGGGCCGCGACTGCCGCTTCCTGGTCCTGCCGCAGCCAGATGGGCGCTGGGTGCTGCAGTCAGAGCCGCATGGCCGCTTCTTCGGAGGCACCGAGGACCAGCTGTCCTGCTTTGCCACAGCCATCTCCCCGGCCGAGCTGTGGACCGTGCACCTGGCCATCCACCCGCAGGCCCACCTGCTGAGCGTGAGCCGGCGGCGCTACGTGCACCTGTGCCCACAGGAGGACGAGATGGCTGCGGACGGTGACAAGCCCTGGGGCGTGGACGCCCTCCTCACCCTCATCTTCCGGAGCCGACAGTACTGCCTCAAGTCCTGTGACAGCCGCTACCTGCGCAGCGACGGCCGCCTGGTCTGGGAGCCGGAGCCCCGGGCCTGCTATACGCTGGAGTTCAAGGCGGGCAAGCTGGCCTTCAAGGACTGCGACGGCCGCTACCTGGCACCCGTGGGGCCTGCTGGCACCCTCAAGGCCGGCCGAAACACACGGCCCAGCAAGGACGAGCTCTTCGACCTGGAGGAGAGTCACCCTCAGGTGGTGCTGGTGGCTGCCAACCAGCGCTACGTCTCTGTGCGGCAAGGTAAGGAGGGCACAGGTGGTGACCTCCTGAGGGGTGCTGGGACCCCCCCTGCTTCGGGAAAGAGGCCGTGGGCGTCTCACGGGGAGTGGCGTCGTGTCTATGTGTTCGCATGTTTGTTCTGGGCTGGGGGTCCATGTGGGACATGTGTGGCCACTCAGGGTCGGGTGGGTGGGCCTCCGGCCATGTCCAGGGGACCCCCACTGAGGGGTGGTGGCTTCATGTCTGGAGTATGAGTGGGACCCTGGAAACAGCCTCCCTTGGGCAGTGTACAACCTGGGCTCCCTGCTGGGCAGCCCTGAGTGGGCTCTCAGGC